TCTTCTTCCCCTTCTTTCTTTCTCTTTCTTTCTTTCCTACCTAGATCGGCTGGGTTCCGTCGAACCCAGCTGTTGGGTTCGTCGAAACCCAGTTGCTGGTCGACCCATAAAAGGTTAAATGCTATGACGTTGAGAGTTCATATTCTCACAAATCAAACTCACTAAAACCTGCAAAAAACTATGAACCCTAGAATGCTCCAGAGCAAAATTTGAGTTCTCTGTCATCGAACCCAGTTACTGGTTTCATTAAAGCCACTAAGTTCATCAAGCTAGTATATCTCATCAAATCAAATTAACCCTTCAATAAACAATATCAATCAAACTCTAATCCAATTCCAACAAAAATGCAATCAAACTTTAGTCCAATTCCAACAAAAATGCAATCAAATTGTAAATCAACTCTTAAATTTATCAATAACTGGAAATGAAAATCGAAAGAAAAATGAAAAAACATGAATCCAGCATCGAAACCCAGCAAGGCTGGGTTCGCGCGACCAGCATGGCTAGGTTGGTCGAAACCCAGCCTTGTTGGTTTTGTTGAGCCTGAGCTGGTCGAAACCCAGCCTTGCTGGTCACACGAACCCAGCAATTGGGTTTCGACGAACCCAGCTACCCAGCTCATCGGAACCCAGCCGATTTGGGTAGGAAAGAAAGAAAGAGAAAGAAAGAAGAGGAAGATGAGGGATTGGGAGGTGAGGGTAATAATGCAATTTTATTTTTTTAATTAAAATATAAATATTTATCTACACATTTTTATTTATCTATATAACATAATTATAATATATATATAATTACCATGCCATAAAAAAAATTAAAAGAAAATGTAAAATGAAATTATTTAACTGCCACGTCATGCTTAATTGTCGAAAGGATCAAAATTGCGCAATTTTTAAAGTTAAAAGATAAAAAAGTGAAAAAAATAATTTAAGGACCAAAAAAATGTAAACCTATAAAGTTGAGGGACCAAATTTAGCATTTAACTTTTTTTTTTTCTTTTTCGCGCGGGGGAGGGTGACTTGGAGGGTGTCATTAAGTCCATGTAAGCATCTCTTACACATTGGCATATCCACGTCAACTGTTCCAGTTAAGTTAATGTGCCACGGGAGCAAAAATTAATGGAGGGACTAAAAAAGGGTCAGATTTTAAATTTTATGGATCAAAAAGAGAATTTTTTTGGTATAGGGAACAAAAAGGAGCTTTTTCTTATAATAGAGGGACCAAAAAAGGTATTTAACCTTTTTTTTAGCATTTGGTGTTAATCCCTAAATCTTTGATGAAATGAAAGCTTATGTGAATTTTCTAATAAAAACCTGAATATTTAACACCTGACCCTAGAGGTGAATTCGCATTAGCTAGTCAGCTGGTGCATTTCCTCTTTTTCTTGTGGGTTTTGAACCCGTCTCTTGCCAAAAATGTTCAAAATAAAAAAAAAAAAAAAAACCTGAATATTTAGGTTGAGTAATACATACAATCAGAATGAATTTTTTTTCTTGGGACAAAGGATAAGCGTGCTGTGTTAATCTAAATTTCACATAAGATACTTACATTAATCCCATTCCAAGTAAAATCGGGAATTTTTTAATAGATAATATTATATATATTTATTTTTTTAATATTATAATATATTTATTAAATACCATATTATTACTATAAATTTAAAATTTTACATAATATTATAACTGTAATATTTTCTGTATAAAACATAAATCCACCGCAACTATCTTGTTTCCCTTAAAATTCAATTAAAGGGAGAGATTAAGATCAACTCTGACATCACAGTTGGAACGAATGTCCTCCTACCACGTCGTCATCGTTGCTTTTGGATCCATGGTCATGCCTGCGCATTACTCGTCCAACACATCACATTCATTTAAAATCCATTAAATTATATTCAACCATTTAATTAATTACATGTAAAAAAAATATAAAAATATTATATAAAAAACTTTCACAATATCATTACCCTAAAAAAAAGTCTTATCATTATCTCTTGAGAGATATCTACTTAGAATTTGTGTATTAAAATATAAAACAAAAATACTATAGTTAAACCGACAACAAAATATATTATTATATAATTAATATTTTTTATTTAAAAATTTATAAATAATATTATATATATTTATTTTTTTAATATCATAATATAATTATTTAATATTATATAATTATTATAAACTCATAATTTTACATAATATTATAATTATAACATTCTAAATAAGGAACTTAAATCCATCATATGGTTCTTATCTCACTTAAAACTCAATTAAAGGGAGAGATTAAGGTCAGCTCGGGACCACAGCACAGCTAGAACGAATGTCCTCGTGCCACGTCATCACCATATATTGCTTTTGGATCTACGATCATGAGTATTACCACTACAACACAATCCATTAGTTTCCAACCAAAGAACCACTCTGACATTCAGAGTCCTTTTGGCTACAATTATATCACAATTTAGCATCATTTTTCACTTAAATATACACCAAATTTGCACTTGGGCTTTCTGCCAGTAGCATCAGGTCATATATAAATGCATTCTCCTTTTTTCAGGGAAACGGTTCGAATTTTATCCTTGCGAATTTATTCAAAAAAAAAAATTATATATATATATACACCAAATTTATCATCCATGTATGTTTTACCAATCAGCGCTGTCATTTAGGTCATGACAGTCAACCGATAACTATAATCACAAATTTCTTACCATATTATTATTTATCAATCATCAATCCAGAAATTATCTACATTTTTTCCATTGTCATTTAGCATGGTTTTGGCTATTTCCATTTGTTGTAATTTGGTTGAAATTCTCAGTTGTCCGTATCTGTTAGAATATGATTGATAACATGAATGGTGCTATCACACTTAAAGCCAAGTTGAGACAAATCTATAGTTTTTTGGATTGTTTTTTTTGTCTGTCATCAATTGTAGACGTTGTAGTGGTCATTGTTCAAAATTCTTATTCAAATTTATGCTATGATGAAAGAGATAACTAGCTATACCTTACTGCATCAATTATGCTTTATTGCGCGAATTGAAATTCCTTAAGGTGTGTGTGTGTGAGTGAGAGAGATTGAACATAGATCACTCTCTTTTTGTTTCTGAAATCTCTTGTATATTCATAAAGGAGGTTATTTACAAAAGTTCTTTCAAACTGCATCCTAGCAAAGGAAGGTGGAAATCCAGAGGCAAGTTAATGGGCAAGGATAAGAGAGAGCATAAAGTGGGCAAGTTAATGCACTACAAGAAAAATGATTTTTGGTGACAGAAATTTGTGATGAATTTTGAAATCATCACTATAACTTATCACAATTGTGA